GGTTGGCCCTTCGATTATAATACCTTTCGATACGCTATTTTTGGGCGGCCATTTGGACTAGGGCAGCTTCGCGCCTTTCATCTAATATCCCTAGGCTCGTATTCATAGCTTTGTCATTTGATTCCTTCGTTGTATATCGGAGTCTGATGCTTGGTTCTCCGACCTCGACTGGTATTAAAGTTTCGGTGCCATAAACTAAAGAAAACGGGGTGGCCCCAGTACTGGATTTTGAGGTCGTACGGTACGCCCATAGGACCTCGGGTAGCATTTTCTTCCATTTCCTTTTGCGTCGGTTAACCTCTTTTTAAGGCTTTGGAGTATAGTTTTGTTGGTAGATTCAGCTTGTCCATTTCCACTAGGGTGATAGGGAGTGGATAAGATCCTTTTGATCTTATGGTATTCGAGAAACTTACTTACTTTGCTGCCAATAAATTATTTTCCGTTGTCACACACAATCTCGGCTGGTATCCCGAACCGGCATATGATGTGGTCCCAGATGAAATCGATGACTTTCTTTTCCCTAACATGTTCGTATGCCTGGGCTTCCACCCATTTAGAAAAGTAGTCAGTCATAAATAATATAAATCGAGCCTTACCGGGTGCCCATGGAAGGGGGCCGACGATGTCTATTCCCCATTTCATGAACGACCAAGGCGACAAAACCGAATGTAGCAGATCCCCAGGTTGATGAATCATCGGAGTGTGTCTTTGGCATTCATCACATTTTCAAATGAACTCCCACGCATTTTTTTCCATGTCGATCCAATAGTAACCGGATCTGATTATTTTTCAGACCAGCGATTCGGCGCCCGAATGATTTCCACAGGTGCCTTCGTGGATTTCCCTCAGAACGTACTCAGTATCCCTCGGCCCTAGACATATTGCAAGTGGACCATCGAATGTTCTTCTGAACAGGGTTTCGTCTTCGGCTAGGCTAAATCGGGTTGCTTTTGTACGCAGGGCTCTCGACTCTTTCGGGTTCGAGGGAAATTTTTCGGTCCTGAGATATTCCACGTACTTGTTCCTCCAGTCCCAAGTTAGGCTCGTCGAGTTGATCTCGGCGTGGCCTTCTTCCACCACCGATATCATAAGCTGCACGACTTCTCCCGAATTGAACTCGTTGACTTCGCCCAACGATCCCAAGTTAGCGAGGGCATCGGCTTCGCTGTTTTGATCCCGAGGTACATGTTGCAAAGTCCATTCTTTGAACCGATGTAATGTCACCTATAATTTGTCCAAGTATCTCTGCATTCCTTCCCTGACCTCGAATGTTCCATTAACTTGATTTATTACAAGGAGGGAGTCGCACTTGGCTTCGATCACCTCTGCCCCCAATCTTTTGGCTAATTCAAGGCCTGCAATCATGGCCTCATATCCGGCCTCGTTGTTAGTCAATTTCACAGTCTTAATAGATTGTCTAATTATATTACATGTTGGTGGCTTTAGTACGATACCAAGTCCGGACCCCTTTGCGTTTGAGGCCCTGTCTGTAAAGAGGGTCCAGATTCCTGGAGATGTCCCTGAGTTAACCAATAACTCTCTTTCGACCTCAGGTACTAGGGTCGGCGTGAAGTCGGCCATGAAGTCCGTCAAGATTTGGGACTTGATGGCAGTCTGAGGTCGGTACTCAATATCGTACCCACTTACTTCCACAACCCATTTGGCCAATCGGCCCGAGAGTTTGGGTTTATGCATAACGTTCCTTAACGGGTAAGTAGTTACGACACATATAGGGTGACATTGGAAGTATGGTTTTAGCTTCCTAGAGGCACTTAGCAAAGCGAGCGCCAGTTTTTCTAGGTGAGGGTACCTAGTTTCGGCCTCACCTAAGGTCCTGCTAACATAATAAATTGGAAACTACATACTTTGCTCTTCCCGAACCAAGACTCCACTTACCGCTACCTCCGAGACCGCTAAGTACAAATACAGTTGTTCGTCTGTCTTTGGTGTGTGAAGCAGCGGTGGGCTCGATAAGTATCTTTTGAGTTGCTCCAGAGCTCGTTGACATTCCGGAGTCCATAATAAGTTATTCTTCTTTTTTAACAGTGCAAAGAATCGGTGGCTCTTGTCGGACAACCTCGAAATAAATCGCCCCAGAGCGGCTATGCGCCCGGTTAGCCTTTGCACGGCCTTTACGTTGTCAACGATCGTGATATCGTCTATGGCTTTGATCTTATCGGGGTTGATCTCGATTCCTTGGTTGGATACAATGAACCCGAGGAATTTACCCGATCCAACTCCGAACGCACATTTTTCGGGTTCAACTTCATATTGTACTTCTTCAATATGCTGAAGGTTTCCTGCAAATGTTTTAAATGGTCCTCTGCTCGCAGAGACTTAACCAACATATCATCAATGTAAACTTCCATCGATTTTCCTATTTGTTCTTCGAATATCCGATTTACTAGGCGTTGGTATGTGGTACCAGCATTTTTTAATCCAAACAGCATTACATTATAAGAATATGTGCCATTTTTAGTGATGAAGGAGGTTTTTTCCAGATCACCCGGGTCCATCCGTATTTGGTTGTACCCGGAATAGGCATCAAAAAAACTGAGGATCTCGTGGCCGGCCGTGGCATCGATCATACGGTCGATGTTGGGCAAGGGAAAGGAGTCTTTGGGCCATGCTTTATTCAAATCTTTGTAATCTACACACATTTTTAGTTTATTCCCTTTTTTAGGGACTACCACTACGTTTGCTAACCAATCCGGGTATTTAACCTCTCGAATGGACCCTATTTTAAGAAGTTTAGATACCTCGTCCTTGATGAAAGCATTTTTGACCTCGGACTGGGCCTCCTCTTCTGCTTGGCCAGATTGATTTTTGGGTCCATGCTTAGTTTGTGAGTGGTTATCTCTGGTGGGATCCCTTTTATATCAAGATGGGACCAGGCCAAACAATCTATGTTAGCTACCAGAAATTGCATAAGTTTTTCCTAAGCTCGGGAGTTAACCCCGTGCCCAGGTATACCTTCCGATCACGTAAACGCTCGATCAATATAACCTGTTCCAGCTCTTTGACCATTGATTTGGTTGCGTCGGAGTCATCGGAGGTTATAAAAGCTTGGGGAACCCCGTTATCATCGTCTCCATAAGTCTTGTGCTTATCCGGTTGAGTCTCGGCCGGTATCAGTGATTGTTATTTGGCCTCTTGGTTCACGCTCGAATTTGGTTCCTTCGATATTGTGGATGTTAATATTAGAACCACTTCTTTGGCTGCAAACATCTCTCTTGCTGCCGGTTGTTCCCCGTAGATTGTCTTAATCCCTCCCCCCCCCCCCCCCCCNGGTTGGGAATTTCAACACTTGGTGAAGAGATGAGGGCACTACCCTCATGTGATGGATCCATGTCCTTCCGAGGAGGGCGTTGTACCTCATGTCCCCTTCGATCACATAAAACTTGGCCTCTCGTATGATCCCCGCAGTATTGACTAGTAACGTTATCTCTCCCTTTATGGTTTTACATGCTATGTTGAACCCGTTTAGGATTCGGACTGCGGGCACGATTTTGTCTTGTAGACCGAGCTGTTCTACGACCCTCGACCGAATTATGTTGACCGAGCTACCTGGATCAATTAACACACGTTTAATTTTAGTTTTATTTACTAGTACAGATATTACCAGTGCATCATTGTAAGGTTGTATGATCCCTTTCGCATCCTCGTCGCTGAAAGATAAGATTCCTTCCCATATGTAGTCTTGAGTTTGTTTCTCCCTGGTGATGGACACTCTGGTCCATTTCAACATCGGCTCTTGTGGAATATCGACTCCACCGATGATCATATTAATGACGTGTTGAGGTTCGGTATCTTCTTGTTCTGTCTGTCTGTTAGAATCCCTATTCCTGAAATGATTCTTGGCCCGGTCGCTCAAGAATTCTCGAAGGTGCCCATTGTTGAATAATCAGGCTACTTCTTCTCTCAGTTGTCGATAATCTTCCGTTCTATGATCGTGAGTTCCATGATATTTGCACATCTGGTTGGGATCCCTTTGAGCTGGATTGGATTGTAGAGCTCGGGGCCATTTGGTCTCCTTGATGCGCCCGATAGCTTATACGATGGCGGCAGTATCGATGTTAAAGTTGTATTCTGATAGCCTCGACGCTTCTTTAGGCCCGACGGACCTGTCGAAGCTATTTTTGGTCATGAGCCCCCAGTTGCTTCGACTTTGTACATTTCTCCTTTCGCTTCTTATGGGGTTCCGCCCGGACCCACTATTTCTCCGATCTCCATTATATGGCAGATACTGATCCCTGTTTGATCCTGGTTCATGATCGATGTCTCTCTTGACTCTGTCGAGGGTTCTGGGGGGATAAACAGACTCCGAAGGGGCCCCGAGTTGATCATCTTCGACCCTGATTTTCAATTGATACTGATTGTGTACATCGGCCCAGGTAACGGTAGGGTACTCTATCATATTCTGCTTCAATTGCTGTGAAGCCACCGAGCTTTGAATATTGAGTCCCTGAGTGAAAGCTTGAACGGCCCAAGCATCAGCGACCGGCGGCAGATCCATTCGTTCCATTTGAAAACGGGACATGAATTCCCTGAGCATCTCATTGTCCTTTTGTTTGACTTTGAAAAGGTTCAATTTCCTAGTTTCGACCTTGATGGCACCGACATGTGCTTTTACAAAAGAGTCTGCAAGCATAGCAAATGAGTCAATAGAGTTAGGAGGTAAGTTGTGATACCATATTATGGCTCCCTTTAATAGGGTCTCCCCAAATTTTTTCAGTAAAACAAACTCGATCTCGTCATCTTCCAAGTCATTCCCTTTGATGGCATATGTATAAGAGGTTACATGCTCGTTTGGATTGGTCGTCCCGTTATACTTAGGTATATCGGGTATACGGAATTTCATGGGGATCGGATTCGGAGCCACGCTTGGAGGAAAAGGTTTTTGCACGAACTTCCTAGAATCCAGTCCTTTCAATATCGGAGGTGCTCCTGGGATTTGATCCACCCTGGAATTGTAGATTTCCCCATTTTTGTCGTTTGCTTCAATTTTTTTCCCCTGATTCTATCCGCTTTGTCAGCTCATCAAGCATCTTTATAATTTCGGGGTTAGGGCCCGATTCTTGTTCATTCGACCTTACAGCGACCGGCTCAGTTCTGCAGGTGACTTCTCGGGGCGGATCGGGCTCAACCCTGCTTGGTGCCTGGCTTTGGCTCTGCAACTGAGCTATCGCCACCTGTTGGGCTTGCAGCATTTCAAAGATCATCTGTAGGCTGATCCCGTCTTCTTCAATGTTTTGTGTGTTTCGAGCTGCAGATCGGGCTCCAACATGGACGCTATTTTCGGGGCTAGTAGGGAGGTTCGCGTCGATGGCCACATATGAATTAACGTCAATCAGATCCGTGGTCCCGAATTCTAACGGGGTCAGCAGGTGGCCTTACGTTACTGGGCGCCACGTTGTTATTCTCACCTTGATGACCGGACTCGTTGTCGATATGTAGGGGTGCTAATTGAGAGTTTGTCATTTTTAGCCTGAAATCAAAGACACTTCAAAGAGCAAGTGTAAAGTAGTGTGTGTTATGGAGATTTGTATCAAATAACCACTATTATCCTTATCCCCCACGGTGGGCGCCAAACTGTTTACCCTCAAAATCGGATAACAATTGAATTTGTCAGTGGTTATAAGGACTTGCGGATTAACTTGATACAAAGTGACAAATTAGATTGCAATTGGAATAAATGATGATAAAATAACTGCAAACCACAGGAATTGGATGATTCTAATTTCGGAATGCGAGCCACCCTTGAGTTGAATACACTTTTATTGACAGAAAAAATATCGAAGAGTAGGAGCTTGAAAAATATATTGCTTATCAGTATATATTACAATGTCCCTCATGAATTGTCAAATCCCCTTTAAATATTAGGGGAGATCTACCTTTTAAGATATTATTTTATTATTATATAAAAGGCAAAAGGACGTTGGTTCCCTTTTTCCGTGATTTCTGCCATAATGACTGGTTAATTGCGAGAATTACAGACCCCTGTCGGATGAGTTGGCAAAGCTTTCTTCGAGGCCGTTGGAAAAAGGACCGGTTATGCCTTCGATAAAATCTAGGGTATATCTGATGGTTTCGGTGGCTAACTTCGACAACGCTTTGGGTTCGATCATAATCACCATGTGCTGATCTTGGCCGATGATGTTTGGCGTCAGATCGATCTTCGAGCTTGACTTCACCTGATCACAGATATTTCGACCTTGGTCTAATCGGGGAGTTCGGAAGCTCGATCGAATATCGAGCTTGATTTTACCCATATACAACCTTCCTTAGCGCTAGCGGGTACGGTTTTAGCTCGGTCTTATCATAGGCGAATTCAAATTTAAATTTGATGGTTTAACCTCTACATTCTTATTATTGAACCAGTTACGCTTTTAAAATTAGTTTCAAAATTTAACACACATTTTTTGAAATTTTAGCGATTTTACGCATGTATACTCCATGTGAAAAATATTTGATTAAGTTAAACCCATTAATTTAATGCTACCTTTGCCACAACTCGTTATATTCTAGCATCGGTTATCCGAGTAGAACGCATGACATAACATATGGAGTAATATTAACAAGGTAAGTTTTGAATCTTAATTTTGTTTAATTTAAATTTTTCTAGTTGCATAACTAAAAAGTTACAAATTTAGTGTTACGAGCAATAAAGGTCAATTGTGTGTTATCAATTTAGTGTTAATTCTTCTGCAAATAGAGGGGGAAACAGTCATTTTGCATTTCTTCTAAATCGCTAAGACAAGGAAGCACGTTATAAAGATGGAATCGGAAATCCTAACTAAGATCCACTAGATTTTGTGGGATTCTCAATTCCAGGTAAAACTTGTCTAGCTTTTAGCATTTCACTAAAAAGAAACGTGATTTCAAGTACTAGATCATATTGGTGAGCATGTTGATTACTCATCATGATTGGAATTCGAAAAAGGAAATAATTTGAAAAAGGAATTAATTTGTATAATCTTAGTAGCTAACGAGAGGATAAGAGATGAAAAGTGCATATCCTACTCCATCCATTTACAAGAATTTCTAATCAAGTACTCTCTCTCCGTTAACTTTTAGTTATGAAGTATTTTTAAAATAATTTTTTATTTTTAATCACTTTTCGCATATCAAGAAAAAAAAATATTTTTTCTATTTTGCCTTTAACATTAATTACTCATTCCAAATCAAAGGGTCAAATATACCCATCTATCTACTTTCATATATTGTCTACATTTAACATCCGTTATACTATCGGGCCAAATTTATCCATACCGTTATACTATCGAGCAAAATTTACCCCTACAATCAGCAAACTTTAAAAAATTACCCCGTACTCCGCAGGTGACCCAGAATCTCCCAAATCATTTTAATTAAGATACTGATTCTTCTTCTTGGTCCACTATTTTCGAAATAATTGGCATTCACCTACTTTCTGAATTGGAAAAAAAAAAATAAGAGAAAAATATTAAATAATACAATTGTTATTAAATAGAGTATAGTAAATTGAAAAATCTAAATTAGGTAGCTTTTCTAAATTCTAAAAGTATTTACAACATCCCAATTTTAATGAATTTGTTGCACCAAATGTATGGAGACTTTGCAATTATTAGTGATTGAAGTTGAAGTTCCTCGTAGACTTTACATTGTCGAATTCAACTTTGATTTAATCAAATGTCTACACATTGTGTACTCTTAAGTTAATCAATCTAACTCTATACTAATCAGGCAATGACAAAATATATTTGAATATACATGTACATACATGATGATCAGTTGCAATACAAAATAAATGAAACACTGAATTCTACTGTATGTATATGATTCAAAAATAAATAAAATTTTAAACCAATTTCAAACCCATTATTACAAGAAGAGAAGTGGGTGCATTGGTAATTAAAAACAAATTATGAATAATTTGTAGTCTAGTAACTTTAGCAATTTCTAAAAACAATGAAGCAAGAAGAACAACAAGTGATTTAAATAAAAAGAATTTGGGAGACTTAGGATTACTTAACGATCAAGGGGTAATTTTTAAATGTTTGTTGATGATAAGGGTAAATTTAGCCAGATAGTATAACGGTAGGGGTAAATTTGACCGGAGGTTAAATGTACACAATATTCAAAAGTAGAGGGGTATATTTGACCCTTTTCCCTTTTCCAAATCAATTAAGACTACACCCATTAATATGGGTATCATGATAAATTATACACTTTATTTATTACTCTCTCCATTCACTTTTACTTGTTCACTAAACTAAAAATGCATTCACTTTTACTTGTCCATTTTAGCAAATCAAGAGAAAGACAATCTTTTTTTCTTGTTTTACCCTTATAACTACTTATTCCCCAAATTATTTCCCAAGACTTTTTGAAATGCTATCATTATTAGGAGTTATATAGTAAAATAGATACTACAATTATTATTTCTTAAGGGACATGAAAAGTACAAAGTGGACAAGTAAAAGTGAACGGGGGAATTATTTCTTAAGGGGTGTGCAAAGTCAACAGTGGACAAGTAAAGTGAACGGAGAAAGTAATTCCTAAAAGAAGTTACAAAGTTAAAACAAATACTCAACCAAATGTCACCTAAGCGACCATGAAAATGGCTTTCTGGAAATCAGCCATGCTTTTTACCTCAGCTAGTACAAATCAACTACATACCAAAAGGAAAAATATTGNAGACATACCATGCATAGGTTGGCCAGCATTACCAAAGGGTCCTGGTTCATGGTGGAAAGGACTATTGCCATTTTCATCAGATGAGTCACTTGAGGCACCTTGAGAAGGAGGGCTCGTTTCTGTGACTGGAGCACCAAAATTCAACATATTGGATGGTGGTGTCGAAGATGGTGCCTTAGACTTTGGCTTTTTCCCTTCTGCAATGAAGCTACCTACAATTACCTGGTCATGAACTTAAAAAACAGTTAGTAATGACATATAGTGCACTCAAACATGAGGGGAGGGGTACAAAGGTAGATAGAACAGCACCTGCACGGGTGTGGCAGCCATAAGCATTCCTGCAACTCCACCACCCAATACTCTACCATCTGAACCAGCCAGTGACACGCTTAGACCACTTGCTCTGCTGCTGTCATTACTTTCCGACTGCAGGAAGGAACCTGACAAGGAGATGATTTCAAATCGGCCCTGCATATTAAAATATATCATGATTGAGAAAAATATACATATATCATATGAGATTATTAGTATAGGTACTATACTAAATAATTCTGTGTATTACAAGCCAACAACCTAACTCATCCGATGCCACTCACAATCAGGTTAGCAACACCATGTTCTAGAAAAGTACATTGATCAATTAAGATTCCATTTAAGCTCCACATGATCATATGCACAAAGTAAGCGAAAAATTCACTAATGGTCATTCAAGTTACGCTTTGCGTTTTATGTCACTTAAAAATCATTTTTCTAAAGCCTAGTTAAAATAAATATAAATGTGGCCGGAAGATGCAAATTTTGGCACGAAATCTGATGCGGCTATCCTAATCCTCTAATTAATTTAATAAAATTGATGGAATGTGTTAATCCATTTTAACATAAACCCTTAACCGACCCATACCTACTCACCAAATGGGTCAATAACCCATTTAACCCATATTCACAAATGGGTAAATATAAAAGTTAACTACCCCACCATTTTCCACAATACTTATCCATTCTCTTTCACTTTCTATCCTTTGGCGATTTAAGGCTCCAAAACACAAAGTTTCTGAAGAACTTTTGTGTAAAAGGATGGAATCCTCTTTCGTGAAAAGAAATAATTTAGATGACACACTTTCCTTATTAGTCCGTTCCAAAAAGAATGACACATTTCTACAATTGAAAATAATTTAACTTTAAACTCTTCATTTTACCCATCTTTCCTTTAATGAAAAGCTTTTATAACCACACAAATGTCATGGCTCCACAAAACTTTTACCCCTTAAACTTTTAAGACCACAAATTTCAAAAGTCTTTTTTTTTCCTTAAACTTCGTGCCAAATCAAACTACCTCATCTAAATTAAAACAGAGAGAGTAATATTTTTCTTGTTGTTCTTGTTTGTTTATGTCTAAACACAAATGATCCTTTTTCTGCATTGTTCCGAATGGCAAATTTAAGCAAGCCAAGTATAACCATAATTTAAGAGCTATGCACAAAAGAACCAATCAGCCGTGGAAACAGCCTCTTGTAGGAATGCAGGGTAAGGCTGCGTACGATAGACCTTTGTGGTCCGGCCCTTACTCGGACCCCGCGCAGAGCGGGAGCTTAGTGCACCAGGCTGCCCTTTTTGCACAACAGAACCAATCAACTGAAGCTCACTTGCGATCAGCTAAATTAGCTCATTCAAATATATATCTAAGCAGGTCAAGTTCGACTGCAACTTTAAAGCTCTCTAAGCATCAAAAATAAAACTTGACTAGCTCTATTTCATGCTTTTACCTCTCAATGGCTTCGCCTAACTGGGCTTAACAGAACCTCGAGCAAATAAAAAAAATTATAAGGGAACCGCAAGCAAATAATGATTCTTAAAGAAATGATTGGCGCTAAATAAACCTTGTTTGCACTATGGAAATTATTACCTATGGTTAGAAAACACAAGTATGCCCAGGGGAGAAAACCTACCCATAAATATCCTGACCCATGCTGTTTGATTATAAAATATTTAAGTTTTAATTATATGCTCATCATAAACTATTAAATCTCCTATTTTCAAGGCCAGTTTCTGTAAGCCTGCAATCGAACAAAGCGAATTGCTTTTTTTACAGTCTAACCAACTGTTAGCCTGGAAAGTAATGTTGCAAGGACTGAAGGACGCAGATAGCAAATTAAACACTATAGTGACATAGTAATCTCCGCCACCCCTTACTATCACTTTAACGTAGTCAGTCCTAGTTATCTACTAAGGAAAGGTTTGCCTAAGTTTTGCAAGAGAATTAAAAAGATGCTTTAGGGAAGAGATTTATCAATCTCCTTAAAGAAAGCGACCTAAGAGAGTGGATCCAATTTTAAGACAATCCTTCAGACAGAACTTAAGAAAGCGATCTTTTTATGGCATAAAATGCACCTTTATCTTTCCATCATTGGCAAGGTTAAATAGATAGCTAATTCTAGCAACCAAAATTGTATCAATGGTTACTACTCTCCATTGCAGTCAAGGTCAATTGAAATAAGACCTATCTCAAATATCAAACAAATGAAGACAATAGAAATGTCAAAGTCAAACAAATTGACAACAGGAAACAGAAAAGAATTTTGATCTTCATTCTCAATGGCTAATTCCGTATTGCAAAGCTGAGGTCATGTCCTATATATAGTCCAAGTTGTTTTCCAACTCAAAGAAGATGAGCAACGTTTCACGGCTGAGATAAAAAGATCAAATAGATCTCAGAATAAAACTAAAGTACTGTTCAATAACAGTTTTGCTTTTTGCCCACAAATAACTAGGCCACTCAAGAAACAAATCTATAAGCATTATTGCATTTATGAGTGTACTACCATCCATTGAAGACTTTCCAGTGTTTCAACCCATTTAAACCACATCCATCACACAAACTTGCGCATGAAAAGCAAGGACTAGGTCTAACACGAAATAGAAGAAAAAGGAGGAAAGATTGAATTAAAAAGCAGATAAAAAGAGATGTGGTTTCTATTACCAAACACTTCTATAGTTAAACTCCGTATTTGTTATCAATCCACCTGACAGATATGTGCTCAAAAATGTACAGGGACACAAATCAAGATTCTCAGGGTAACTAATGTGTTTCATACAAACCTCTAATCAGTAATCAGGCAATAACAAGGACCAAAAAATGGTATCAGTTCACAATAGTTTTTTAACAATCATTTAAAAGAGGATTCAATTAAACAAACTAATAAACTTAGCAAGGACTACAGGAAATATTCCAAACTATGCTACGTCAAGAGTCAATTTTTCAAGTATTAAAAATGTTAGGTGAAAGTATGTATATAAGATGGAAAAGCAGATACTTTAGAACATGCTCCCATTAACTCCAGTGCACAGGCATGATAGGGAAAACTATATGAACTAAGATAATGAAACAGAAATTGTCTTAAAGGCAAATGCATACAAACCTCGTAGGACACAGTGCCACCTCCCATTGCTGGTTGGCGAAGGGTGACGTTACAGATGGCTCCATTTGCAGATAGTATACAAACTGTACGTGGCCCCTGCTGGGAGAAGGCGATTATTTTTGATGCTATGTCCTGAAGACGAGGAAACAGATTCGCATCATATTGAACAGCCAACTGAAGATTCACAGGACTAGGAATTTATTAGAAGTCAATTTTAACAAAGACAGATAAAGCTAGAAAACAAAGGCTTCAAACTGCATCAGTGTTCTGCAAAACCGTAACAAAAAAAATAAAAAATAAAAAAACACCCCACCACCAAGCCCTTTAGTAGATACAAATCTATGAACCATGGGCAGCAAAAATTAAAGATGTACATCTACCAAAGGTGCACCTTCTCAAAAGATATGTCTAAAACGGTAAAACCTATCCAATTCTTTTGATTTTGCAGCATACAAACCAAGGTGCAACAATTTTGCATAAATCTAGATAGGCACATGCAATCTATCTGTTAAAAGCCACCCATTCAAAAGTCTAATCAAATGCTGAAAAGTATACCCTACCATTTTCGTAATACTAATTCACAATTAAAATAGTTGAGATCTCCCAAACAACATGTATATCAAAAAGAACAAAGTAACTTCTAGTAACAAGTTAGAGTCAAGGATACGAACCTTGGCCAAAATAAATAAAAATGCTATATAAACTAAGTAATTTTCGCAAATTATAAAAACGGACTGAATAAGCAAACGAAGATTGACATACTTGAACCTTACCACTGCAACCGGTCAACTGAACTCTTAAACTGGTCATATACAATGTCAACCACCAATGACGTCGAAACAACATGCTGGAAACCCTACTTATTTCCACAACCAAAACAAGAAGTTCTATACACAATATTCTTTACAGAATGAGATAAAATACAACAACAACAACAAGGACTACAGGATTAAGCATAAATTAGTTCGTTATTTCCAAATCCATACTTCCCCAAAAACGAAAAAATAAACTAATTAATTTACCCAGCCACTTCCTGGTGCAATATTTACACCTCTTGCGTTCCCAAGACACCAGTGTGAAAAGCCTACCTTCCCAATGCCCAGGATACCTCTCAAAGCACTCCAGCTGGTGGCAAAGATCATCGATCTCCAACCATAAGGTTAGGGTTCAAATGATAATGTAATGTAAATTGATTAATTCCAAATAACAAGGACTACAGGATTAAGCATAAATTAGTTCGTTATTTCCAAATCCATACTTCCCCAAAAACGAAAAAATAAACTAATTAATTTCCCCAACCACTTCCTGGTGCAATATTTACACCTCTTGCGTTCCCAAGACACCAGTGTGAAAAGCCTACCTTCCCAATGCCCAGGATACCTCTCAAAGCACTCCAGCTGGTGGCAAAGATCATCGATCTCCAACCATAAGGTTAGGGTTCAAATGATAATGTAATGTAAATTGATTAATTCCAAATAACAAGGACTACAGGATTAAGCATAAATTAGTTCGTTATTTCCAAATCCATACTTCCCCAAAAACGAAAAAATAAACTAATTAATTTCCCCAACCACTTCCTGGTGCAATATTTACACCTCTTGCGTTCCCAAGACACCAGTGTGAAAAGCCTACCTTCCCAATGCCCAGGATACCTCTCAAAGCACTCCAGCTGGTGGCAAAGATCATCGATCTCCAACCATAATGTTAGGGTTCAAATGACCAAGGGAGCAAAAGCACACCAGGTAGGGGGATTTGGTAGTAGAATTACTACACCTTAGGGGTGAGTAACCTTCAAGCCAGAAGATACGTAACAATGCCTCAATCCCAAACAAATTGTGATCGCTAGAGTAAAAAGAATTAAGGTGTCACATTTGAGTTAAGATTTTGTCTTTTTACTGATTACCTGTTTTGTTAACATACAGGTTTGACCAGGAACGGAAAAAGATTGAAGCATTTGTCGGATCAAAAGCTGGTATTCAGGTAATATCAGGTTAACCTAGCACATGCACATCTTATTATACTGACCGGTTACTGCCATTGAGTTAACTATCTTTTTTTATAAGGGGCTATATGAAACATCATTGTCCATGTCACTCCATTTAAACTAACAGTCCAATATTATATAATATAATTTAAGAAAAAGCACTAGAAGTTCTTTATAATCTCTACCGCATATATAAATCTCTGACAAGATGACAAGACTCCTGGAAACATTGGTCCTAAAGTAAACAAGAGATCATGAATAAAACTTAATCCCAACTTATTTGTATCGCCTATCTGGATCTTTTTCCCCTTCCTTCAACAATGCAAAATTTAAGTTAATTCATAATACCAGGAAGATTTCTTATATTAAAGTTCTACTATATTATTCATAATCACTATCATATCCATCCATATCATCTCCTTGATGGTTCTTATATATATTGTTGCATGAAATAGCCATCTAGTCTCGTAGAAAAAAGACAAAACATAGGTCAGCTCCTGTGGGCACGTGACGCGCATGCCTTAGCGTCATTGTGCCTACAATAAGTGCCAAGCCAATGTTTATAAAAGCAAAAATCGTGAAAAAGCGACAAGCCTCATGGGGCTTGAAGCAAAAAAGCGAGAAGTAAAACGCACTCTTCTTTGAATTGAAGCACACAACTTACAGAAAATTAAAGAATGCAAAATAATATGAACTTAGAAATATAATACTCCCTCCGGTCCATAATAAGTGACTTTTTTACCTTTGGCACATCCATTAAGAAAATACTAACTCCTAGAAAAAAATAGGTATTGTGACTAAACTACCCTCAATTAAAATTTGCGTAAGTAGTTATAGTAGCACTTACCGTAGCTCTATTATACTCCAACTTAAAGTGGCACTTAGCGAAGCAACAAATAAACCTTTAAACTCAGCGGTGGATCCAGTATTTAAACCCAATGGGTTCAACTTTTATGGTTTTTAGCGTTGAATCCATTATATTTTTAAAGTTATGGGTTCATATCTACTACTTTTGCAATTTTGATGAATTTTTACATACAAATTTTTATTCCGCGTCGAAAGTTATGGGTTCAGTTGAACCCATCCCCAGAACACTACATCCGCCTATGTTTAAACTTCTCTTCTCAAGTCATTTCTCAACACATAAATCTAATTATATTAATGGCAATCAGCCTGAGAATGTGATAAAAATGTGAGGAAGTTATTCTCACACTTAGCGCACATCAATTGCTGAACCTATTTAGTGTTATCATTAAAAATTGGAGTAGGTTAAGAAACATTCTAGGGATAAGTAAATAAGGATAAATTTGGAAAAATAAAGTGAATTCTTTCTTGATTATTATGTAAAAGGACACTTGTTTTAGACCAAAATTAAAAGGTAAAAAAGTCACTTATTATGGACCGGAGTAAGTAATGAAATTGCAAGTAAAATAATTAACTTTAGCATCAAAATACAATGATGTCGATCGATATTAGTTCAACTTCTCAACGTTGAGATTCGAATAACCAGTTGCTTCTCCTTTGGGTTACCTTGAGAGTCATTGTCTGAAGCGCACATCTCTATCAAGCGCAAGGATTCACCTATAAAGCGCTACCCTCGCTTCAGGTGACAAAGCTATGACTCATAACAACAATGTGCCAACTAAACAAGGTAACCACTCAGCTTGCTCTACACCTAGGTTCAGGGCTTAAGCACGTCTCAAATGATATTGTGAGCTCCATGGCCAATCCTAGATCTAAAAGTCCCAAGATGAATCCCGCCAACCCTTTGGATCAAGGATATCATTCAAGGAGGAGCAACTAAATTACTTCTCATGTTACACTGATATGACTACATCCCCTTCTTGAGCTCGTGTGCAGCAAAATCGTTGACTTTCACCAATGAAATCTTCAAATCGTAGCAACAGTTACATAAATGCATACATTCCCTATGCTATAAAAATCTCCAACAAGATTGTTGGTCATTTTTGTCTCATTTGCATCTCAAAGGAGACAGAAATGCGACTTTCCTTTCAGTCAATTCGGGGAGTTTGCAATTTCACCAAAAACAGATGCTTCTGTACCAAGAATTCACTCTCTCCAAAAATATTTGTCGCAAAGTCATTATAATGCAAAAACACAGTGTAAAACATGCATATAACAGTGTAGATAGACACCTCCTAACACGTTCAGTAGGTTAATGAGCATGTTTTGTAAAAACAACATAACATACTTACCAAAAAAGAAAATAAAAAACAAATGAACAAATTATACCTCCCCAACATTCACTGTGATCACATGGGGCGTAAAGCCGACTCCAGCTGCACCTGTCAACCATCAAGAATCCCAAGAATCACTTACTGCAAGCAAACTGAATTGTAGAAAGAAGTTCAAGAAACCGAAAAAGGCAGTATTTTTTTTCTTTTTTACAAACAAGTAAAAACTCAAATTACAACAGCAATAATATACTGTATATATACCTAAAGCATCAAGCTGTTTTTTTGAAGAACTAGGAGGCCTTCCTCGGGCCTTTTTGGACGGGTTCTCTGAAGATGTACCCTCCACATCACCACCACCCCCAGAATCTGTATTCGTCGGCACCACAGAAGAAATAGGGGTAACAGGAGTAGGAGAGAGACCCAAAGCGATGTTACCATCAGGAGAATACTTTCTGGGTCGGCCCCTTTTCTTCCTGGCAGGCTCAATGCTGAACCCAGTAGTAGCTGCCCTAGGAGATGATGCATCTGAGTAATCAAGATTGGGTTGTTGGACTGCAGAAGCAGAAGCAGTATTCACCGCTGAATTAAAGGGGAACCCAGAATTCTGTTGCTGGTTCTGGTGCTGGTGCTGCTGGTGTTGAAGCTGTTGCATCATGACAGAAGAATTGTTGTTGTTATGTGTTGGAACATTGTTGGATACAGCATAGGAGTTGGCTTGTTGCTGCTGCTGTGGGTGCTGTTGTTGTTGATGTTGTGGATGTTGATGTTGTGGGTGTTGTTGGGGTTGATGTTGTTGTTGGGGTCGTGCCATCATCATAGGATGGCCAAGTGGCGGTGCTTGTTGTTGGTGGTGGTGTTGGCTTTGGTGGTGTTGAGGGAAAGAATGAAGATGGGGGTGTGGGGATTGATGATGATGTTGATTTTGGTGGTGACCCGCTTGTGATTCTTGGGAATCCATGGAACACAGAATTATTCTGGTGAAAAAGGGAGTTTTCAAAAAATGTAATCGAGGGGGGTGGGGGAAGGTACTGTTTCTGTGCACTGAATACCTACTACTGTGGAGTGAGAGAGTACAAAATGAGGAAAGAAAAAGAGNTTTAGGGTTTTATGGGATTTTTTTATTTTTGTGCTTGCGGATCTGTCTGGCGACTGCGTGGTCTTTGCAAACTACCACAACAAATAGTCATTTTATCAAAACTTTGCGATATAGTCCAGATTTGACCATCATTTTTCTGAGTAACTCCTTCTAAATCAGCCGTAATTGTAACAATTTATTCTCTCCACTCTAGAAAAACATCACTTGAAGACTACCGTTAGTACTCCACCACTTATATTTCCTACAACACTCACAAAAAGAAGACAAAAAATCACACTATTCGAATGATCTCTCTTGCACCTTCAGTTGTATCATTTTCCCCGATCAACATTTTACCTCTCTAATAGAAGAAAATTGATCATCAACCACTATAATTGCACATTCACTCTCACAAGATGTAACTATCCAACAGGTCATACAGTATTCTAGCATCTTGTTATGTTATTTGAGACTTTGAGTAGGTTTGTGTGATATTTTATGACTTGTGGGTATGCATAATTTGGATCACGAAGGATTCGGGAAGACTTAGGAACACTATTTTGCTATTTGGAAGATTAAAGGCTAAAAGAAGCAACTTCACCCCTCAATTTATGTATTCACGCTTTTATTCATGATTTGAAACTTCTAATAAGTTTATATGATGTATTTGAACTTGTACGTATATATTCGAATTAGAACCCGAGAAGCCAGGGAGCATTTTAGCGCCATTGCATAGAAGTTGGAACTTAAGGATTCATAAGTTTGACTTTAATCTTCGTTTTGAGTTGTTGTGTTTTGCTTTGTGTTTAGAGCCTTTGAATAAGTTCATAAAGAGATATTTGGACTTGTCGGGATGGTTTGGAGGAGACTCGAGCGACACGGGTAAATTTCAACACGTTTTTAGCAAGTTTGAAAAAGCTTTGAGCTGCTGAAACATAACCTGCTGCATTTGGCCTCGCTTCACAAGTATATCTTCCAACATATAGCTAATTCAGGGATGATTAATAAATAAAAAGAATTGTAGGCATTTGAGTCTAGTTTTTAGAGGTGCAAATCGTTTGTCATTTAGACATTGTACAAAGAGTTAACCTTTCTACTGGAGGATGGCATTGCTATCACAACTTAACCAAAAATGTTGCAAGTTAGAGACCTGATGCGATGCATAGCGTAAGAGTGTAGGGTTAATTTTTCAGCAGATTCTTAGATTTCTTATATAAATAGCCATATTTTGTACTATGAGCTTATTTCATACAGGGAGCTCGAATTTAGGTAAATTTGGAAGAGTTTTTCATCTACGACGATGGGCTACTAATCCCAACTCGATTATATGATTATAACATGAATCTATCATCAGTTTTGCCTTAGAATCAAAGAATCATAATGATGGAAACGAGGATTTTTGACTTGAAGGAAAGAAAGTATTTTTGATTATTTCAATATTGATTTGCACTCGAATTGAGAACTGATCACGCTCAACTCTAGTCCTAAAAAGGATAAGCAGTCGCTGCAAATATAATTTGGTCTAAGAGTCCAGAGTCGAATCTCACAGACAACTAAGGCTTAGCTACATCTTTTTAATATCACTAAGTAGACAAGCTCGAACAATTTCTAAGTTATAAATATTAAGATTCTTATGTCTAACTAATTAACTAACAACTTAAAGTAGTATATTAATAATCAGAGATACTAAGGGTTGGAGACAAGATTAAGGAGATCTAAAGTTATGATTTTCCCAATTGTCAGAATCCTTCCCGCCACATCTCCTATAATTTCGCCTAAGTATTCTCTACCGATCGTGAGTAGTTCGGGTGTCGTAATTCTCTCTCGAGTAACTACCACTATTTACTATATGTATTCTCTCGAACTACACTAGCTGGCACTAATTCACCGCTCACTACGATCGCACCAAGATTTCGTTATCTCTAATCCCGCCTTTAAACCCTCCGTATTGACATCTCACATACGTTAGGAGTGATGTTGTTCAACAACTACCTAAATGCGTACTCTCTCTCGAGCAGTACACACTAAATAGGCACAGTTAATTGATGGACATTCAATCAACAACAACAAACACGTAGTTGAACAAGTAGAGAAATCCAACGGCTCAATTATATAAAAACATAACAATAATTTATCCTCCAAAAGGTTCCGTCAAAGCCCTAGATAATAAATTAGCTATTTATAATAGTATGCAAAACTACAATACTATAATTCATAGCCAATAATGAAAATAGAGGAAGAAAGAGGGGAAAACGTGAAGTTGAATCCTTCTCCTTGCTTCAAGTGTGTTCTTGCCTCTCTAAAGTCTTCTCTCTCTCCAAAATAGTAGCTCCCTTCAAAATTACATTTTAGAATATATTTATAGCGACTAGGGTTTGTATGGGGCGAATTTTCCTTCTCCTAATTCGGATTGGAAAAGTTAATTTTTTTTTGCTATTGTCCCGGCCTGGCGAAGTAAACCTCGCTTCGCTGTCCGGGACTTTCCTGGTTTCTTCTGCTACGGTCCCTGTCTAGCGAAGCGAAGTCGCTTCGCTTTCCGAAACTTTTCTCTTCAGCTCTTTTTTTCACCAATTTTTCTCCTATTTAATCCTTTTCCATATAAGTTTGTTCCTACATATAAAAAACATGTAATGAGCATATTTTCACTTCAAAAATGGTGTGAACTCTCACAACTCACATAAGAAATAATATACAAACATACTAAAAAATATGCACTTTTCACCCTTTATCATCACCCCACACTTAACCCCTGCTCGTCCGCGAGCAACAAAATTAAGCACATGTGCAAGAAACACATTTCGAAATATATTCAAGCATCACACCAATGACAATAGTTTAAATCAACGCTTAGAACCCAGCATATGCACTCTTCATACCTTTTCTCAAGTTTTAAACCCATGCCAAGATCATTTAAAATATTCATGTGACTCTTTCTAATATACTCGCCTTAAAACTTGACTCTAATACATTCCACACTATGACTCGCTCCTTGTGCCAACTCAAAAACCAAGGTCTCTACCAATCCTTTGTAAATCATGTGCTCTCACTAACAAACCATAGAGAAAATAGTCCATACACTCAAATATAAGTTCAAGTATAGTCTAAGGACTCTCAAATCAGAAGAATTTTCTCATTCTCACAAAGAAACTCTTATGCCACCAAAACTCATACCATAGGCTTGCCCCTAGTGTAAGTCTCCACTAATTTAAGCTCGCAAAGTCTAGGATCAAGTAGGGCTTTATAGGTTGTAATGTAGGCTAAGGAACGAGTAGGATATATTTGAGAAAATAATGACTAACCCTCCTAAATACACTACATTTCTCTTCCAAGCACATTCTTATCATGACCACTTCAATGTCTTGCCATTTAACCATATACATTTAGGCCTTTCTTTATTAAGCACGTCAACATATAGATACTTACTAGCCCAGACAAAGATATAGGAGGTGTTATTTTTTTTTCACTCTCCTTAATTTGGTATTTTTGGCTAGTACTTTTTTTTTTACAAGTGCACCTTGTCGGCCTTTCTATGGTTTCACTCAAAAGCTACCCAATCAATTTCTTTACTCTTCTAGCTACTTAAGTGCTTTCGGAGGTAAAGGTTTAACAAGATTTGATTAAAAACAAAGATGGTTCATCTTGTAATGTGGTTGCCAAAGAAAAGGTCTACATGCTCAAAAGGGGTGACTATAGATAATATTAGCACTAGTAGGCAAATAGGCTAAATGGTCAATCAAAGAAAGCCTATATCACCTCCCAAACTGACAAGACTTAATCATTTTGCTTTGACTTACACAGGGGGCAAGTTCTAGACTAGCAAGGATGGCACAGAATACACCAAAATCTCACCTCACACAATGCACATGACTCACTCAGGACGGCTTGGACCCGACTCTCAAGTTAAAGCAACTAGCACAGTCATCATAAAATTTAAGCACACGGAAAGAGTCAAAAGATGATCCTCGGTGTCAAAAGAAAGCCACACATATTTTCAAGACATGTAATTACTAAGACCATGAAGAAAGTACTTTGTTCAAATGCTCCTGACCTAAGCCCCGATATAAAACATGTCAAAATGCATAGATACTCAAGTTCTCCCCATTCCATTATCAATTCAAAATGAAAAAAAATGAAAATCTTTTTTTTCTTTGGACTTTAAACCCTCAAGAAAACTGTCTAGGAAGTCTATCATTGGGAAAAGACACAATTTTTTGAAAATTCTACCTACAAAAAAAACTACTACCCGGTTCAAAGAGTCATCCCTTGGAAAAGAACCGTGGCTATAAGAAAAACCAAGAGGGATTATTTCTACCTAATAACTTTTTTGATTTTGTTTTTCAACACACATAAAATAACACAACTAAAATAGCATAGGAACACTCAAACAGTCTCTTTACCCCACACTTAAAATTGTGCATTATCCCCAATGCACACTCAAAAATACAAGAGGGTAAAATAAACTACCTGGTAGGCCAAAAGCCGAAGCATTAGCCACTCATGGGGTAGTCAGACTTCTCCCATACTTGGTTCTTTGTGCGGGCATCCCAACTTAGTTCTAACCATCTTACTTACATTTGCTTTTTTCCTATAGCCTTGCTTCCCATGCTCCTAGAGAAATAAAAAACAACACTATAAAAATAATGCAATAAAAAAAAAAAAAAAAAGAAGTAAAGCTGGGTTGCCTCCTAACAAGCGCTTGATTTAATGCCGCAGCACGACGTAAACTATTTTTTGCCTCCACCTCGAGCTTATGAATTGAACCCCAAGTTTTGCTTCAAGCTTATGATTATGCTCCTGGGGTGGTGGAACGAATCTAACTTTCCCAAGGAAACAATGTAGTGTTCTGCACTTCTTGGCCTTTAGATGAGGTGTGTAATCCTGACTTTCTAGCAAGAAGAATTCCAGAATGTTGACACCTTGTTCCTCATTCCTTGACTCCTCAATTGGCTCGGATGACTCTATTTCTATATTATCATCCAAACACAATGTAGAAAAATACTTGGAGTATGGACCA